AATTGTGATTTTATAGAAAACATTATTTTATTAATTGGGGCCTGTTGAAATAGGTTAAAAACACACACAATTCCATTACAATTTTCTTTCATTCATACCTAAGAGATAGTCTAGTAAGTGACTATTTAGTTAATTGCCTTCCATTAAGAGATCATAAAATCTTTTTTTTTTAAGTGGAGAAAACAAAATCCTGAATAACTGTTCTTAAAAGAGTTCTCTAAATCCACATATTAGCAATTACAAATAAATTCTGTATTAAATAAAAAATTTGGAGCATCAAAATTTTTTTTGAAGGTTAAGACAGCATCAGTGGAACATCATGAAAGAATTACTGTTAAAGAAAACCTAAATTAGCTTATTTTATATATTTTGTATATAAAAGTGCATAGAGATTCATAAGAAATAATAACAGAGCATCTATCATGTTTCTGACAGGCAAACACAAGAGTGATTAAAACCTCTGTTGCTTCCCTGTGGAAAGACTGTCTCAAACCCAGAAGAGCCAAACAACTGCTAAGTAAATGTTATGAGAGGCATATAAAGGGACCTTCCTTTAAGGGTACAAAAACACCAAGAGCATAGCATGCACATAAGGATGGATAACTTTAGAAAATAGAGCATTCTGCTTTCATAAAGGGAAAAGTTACAGGAAACTCTAAAAGAGTTCAACTCAACTCAATATACCAAACAACAACTTGTTTGTTTTAGCATCCTCTAAATGTCACTTCTGTGTAGCAAAATGTTTCACTGCACACTTAATTTTTAGAGTTAAAAATAAAGCTAAAGAAAAAAACAAAATGTAATAAAAAAGCAAAAGGACCATGAAAAAATCTAAGTGCAGGAAGAGCAAATGCTTTTTGATGGACAGCTGTTCAAGGATTAAAGGCATTAAATACACAATCCTTTTGGTCTTGTATTTCCACTTCGGGGAATTTATTCTAAAGAAATAATCAGGGATATGAAGGGAAATCTTGATGCCTAGAAATTTTTAGTCACAGATGTTAGTTCTTAGCCAAAATCTTGTAACACACACACACACACACACACACACACACACACACACACACAACCGGCTATTCAGACACATTGCTGAAATAGGAAACAAGAGATCAGGTTATATGAATTATTGTGCACCTACCTTGCAGAACACTATGCAGCCATAAAAATGCTTTAAGGACACCGTATTTTCTGTTCCCAATGCTTTCTATAAAGAAAAGAATATGAGTGACAAAATGAGTACGGCTGAAATGATTCTTATTTTGTAAAACAAAACCAATGAAAAAGTGAAATTCCTTGTATAGTATAAACTGTAATTACCTTTTGGTGTAGGGAATACAAAGATTGTGGTGCTCTTCCTTTGGCTTTTAGTAATTTCCAAATGCCCGCTATGTGTTAAGATGTGGAGAGTAACAGCTGAAAGTTGTGTAGTGAAATTAGAGGTGATTACAGCATAGTGTTATAATTTCCCTAAGGAAGAAAGAAAATCACTTGTAAATCGTAAAACAGTTCGTATTAATCCTTGACAAAAATATTAAGTACTTAAAAATCTGGAAATGAACGGATAGACAAATTCATAAGTATGTCCTAACTTTGATATTTCATTCTAAAATACCACACCAGAAAAAAATAAAATATCACACCTGCCGAAACCGGTTTGGCTCAGTGGATAGAGCGTCAGCCTGTGAACAGAAAGGTTCCGGGTTCGATTCCGGTCAAGGGCACTTACATTGGTTGCAGGCACATTCCCAGTAGGAGGTGTGCAGGAGGCAGCTGATCAATGTTTCTCTCAACGATGTTTCTAACTCTCTATCCCTCTCCTTTCCTCTCTGTAAAAAACCAACAAAATATATTTTAAAAGTAAATAAATAAAAAATATCACACATAATAGCTAATTGTACAGACTCATTTGAACCCTTGACCAAACAAAACAGTTTTCAACTACCATTCTTCTATTTTGCTATTTATGGTTTGTGGGTTTTTTTTTTTTTTGGTCCACAGAAAAATTTTCCAGGCAGCTTCCCCAATTTTAAACATTTTTACAGACATTAGGACTTCCCCTCAGAAACATTTCAGGATATCTGTCACGGAGAGGTCCTGCTATATCTTCAGACCAACTGCCAACAGTACCCAATGAATTATTAAAACTGAACCATGGTATTCAAAACAGGGGCCGGTATCATCACGATCATTTAAGAAGCTATCCAGATCGGTGCCACTGGGTCACTCAACAGGAACACCAACATCTATTCCACTTTCTTAGCGATTTCGAGCAAAACCACTGTGCTGCGTGAAAACACTGGGTCGGCTTTCTTTGACCTGCTCTCCGGAGTAAATTTAGTCAACGTGGGTTAAGGACGATATTTCCCACTCCCCTCATGATGTCATTCCCCATGGCAGCTCGCCACGGAATAGCCCACCACTTTCAAGTGTGTTCTTGCTTCATTTAACGACACAGAGATTTTGCTAAGCGACCAAGGGTCCCCTCCGCAGGCCCTTTGATCCGAGGTGTTTTCTGATCCTGCAAAACCGCCGCTGCCGTTTCCTTCCGAGGAGCAGCCTGAGCCTCCCGCAGCAGCTGCCGGCGCCGGGGCAGATGGGCGGCGGCGGCGGCGGCGGCGGCAGTGCGAGCCCATGAATTCCCCGCATTCCGACCCGAGCGCCTCATCGCGCGACGGGCACGCGGAAACACCTGTCCCCATGCACCCTGTCTTGTGTGTCTAAGAACCTAACCTTCCCCCGTCCTCACTAGGGAGGCGCCCAGGGCCAGGAGCGCTTGGCCGAGAGTCTGACAGATCCCCGAAACACGCGTCCCCACGGAAGGAGCGGTTCGGAGAGCAGCAGAGCCCAGAAAGCCCATCCAGCTCTCCCGAGGAGTCCGGGGACCAGCCCAGGGAAAGACTTCCCCCTCCGCCTCCTCCTCGGGCGGCGGGAGAGGAAGCCTCGCCCCCTTTCCTCCCGCCTTCCACTTCCCACTTAGCCATGGCTGCCCTGGCCCCTCCACTTCCGGTGCCGGCGCCGCTCGAGCCGCGCCATCCCCCAGGCGATCGGACCACCGCGGCTTCCAACTGACCTTTTTAAACAGACTCGCGACTCCTCCGACCTTCACCAGGTGCTGTCTCTGGGGAGGACCGCGGACGGGGTACCGCACCGAAAAGAATCTAGGGCAGAAAGACTTCGCTGTCCTCTCGCCAGAAACATGAAATGCGATAGACCCGCGGCCACCGCTGCCCAGACAAAATGGCGCCGAGAAGTCGGTTTCGCGCATGCGCTTTTGGGCAGGTCCTGCCCCGCCACCCCCGCTGCAAGTCTCAGCCGCAGCTCGGGTTTCGGTTTCCATGGGACACTCCGCTGCCAATCCTCGCGCGGAACCGCTCTTCCTGACCCCCTCCATGTACCAATCGGTGCTCAGTCAGGCACATCCGGAGTCCTTTCAGCCAATCCGGTGGCGGCCCTGGCTTACTCAATCCCTGATTCTCCAGTAACGTTAGACCTCGGGGCCGGCCAATCAGAAGTGGCAGATGTCTTACCTGCTGTTTTTCGCACCAATCCGTGAAGTTTCAGAGCTCCATCCAATGAGGACGGCAAGGGGGGGAGCGCCAATCGGAAGCTCTTGGGCGTCATGAGCAGCCAATGAGAGTCCGTGTAGGAGCGAGTCTGCTCAACAGCTTGTTATTTGGTGGCTTGTGGCAGTAAATTGGGAGAGTGGGGAACCGGGCGCGGAACTGCCGCCGCCGCCGCGGCCGGGAGTGGTGCTGCCCAGCCGGGGGCCCCGGCGGCCCGAGGGGCGGAGGACTCTGGCACTGACAGCGCGCACTTGACCCGCAGTTGGTAGGTGGGGAGGAGGGAAGTGGGGGGCACCCAGCAGCATAGCAGCTGCTGCTGCCGCCGCCGCCGCCGCCGCCCGGGGTCCCGGTGCAGTTAGGAGCTTTGGAGGTGGGGAGCGGGGTGCGGGCTAGCGGCGCGGCTGGCGCTCGGGGAAGGGGCGCGTCGCGGAGCAGCGACAGCAAGTGCGGGAACCGCCGCCGCCTCGGCCGCTGCCCCGGGAAAATGGCTGTGGGGCTGGCCGCGCCGCTAAGTTTGCTCCAAGCGCCGTCCAGAGCGGACTGCTTTCGGGAAGCCGGCCCCCACCCAACTCCGCGGCGCGTCCTTCCCCGTGGAGTGGGCGGCCGGACCCGGGGACCCGGGGACCCGGGGGGCCGGGGGCAGGTACCCCTCCGGCCGGGCGGTACAAAAAGTTAAGGCGGGCGCGGGGAGGAGCTCCCCTCCCCTCCCACCCTGTCCGGGCCGCCTCCCTCCTCCTCTCCGCCCCCTCGCCCCCCCCCCCCTCCTCCTCCTCCGCGGGGATCCCCGCACCCTCGCGCCTCCCGCTGAAGGCAGGCCTCGGCTCCTTGCCCCGTTTCGGTGAAGAAGCGCTTCTTCTTTTTTTTTCTTTTTTTTTTCTCCCCCCACTGACATGGTGCAGAGCGGAGGAAGGAGAGCAATGGCGCCGTGACACTCCGCTGCCGCCACCGCGGGCCGGGGCGGGCCGAGGGGGGCCGAGCGGCGGGGGCGGGGCGCGGGCCGAAGTCGGGTATCCGGCGGGCGGCCGCGCCTATCGGGGACTCCGGTCAGCCCCGCACGGCGCCCCGCCGTCCTCTTCCCGAGCGATCGGTGCTCGGGATCGAGTTGAGCTTTTTTTCGGGTCAAAAGTAGCGATCGAGGCGGGGGCGGCGCGGAGGGCCGCTGCGAAGTCCGGGGCGGAGCGGGCGCCGGCCGGCGGGGCTCTCGCTGCCCCGCTCCGCTCCCGCGTCCCAGGGACCCTCCGGGGGGACCTTCCCATCCCGCGGCCGGTGGAGGCTCCTGCCCCTCCCCGCCGGCGTTTGTTTACTTTCTTTTCCTGGGTCGTTCCCCCTCCGTGTGTGTAGACTGATTTCTGGCTTGTCTTTCTCTCCTCCCCGCTTGGCTCTAGCGACGGGAGGACGGAGCTGGTGGAGCTGGAACCCCATAGGTCACCAGTGAAAATGAAGGTAAGTGGAGTCAGCACTAGCTCGGAACCTCGTGCCCAGGACACGCTGCCTGTCGGGAGGCCAGTGCTGTGGAATGTCATTATTATCATTATTATTATTTTACCTATTGGCTACTCAAGAATTGATTTCTCAACCAGGGCAGCGCGTTCTGAAAAAAGGAGGACGTGTTGAATGGGTGAGAAATGATCATTTGTGGTCTCAACGCAGTCCGCTCGGCCCATCTCTGAAGCAGCAGCAGCACTTGCGAAAGGCTGCTGCAGCCTTTCCCATTGTTGTCCATGGGGCTAGTATTTTTAAACACTTCCTGTGTTGGCAGCGACCTTTGCAGAAGTAAAGCTTTTTGTGTCCTGCTTTGGTTCTTTGGGGGATTTTGGGGGGAAATTTTTATTCTTCCTCAGGGCCAGTGTGGATTTTTCTAAGGAAAAAAAAAAAAATAGGTGGATTGTGGAAGAGAGGTATCATTTTTGTTGGAGGTAGAGTGAAATTTTGTGGCTAGAATACTTGAAGTTGAACCAAAGCTAATAGTTTTCGTTCAGTCGTTATAATAAGTAATTTTAAGCATGTCGCTAACAAAAAAAAAGACGTATATATTCTTCTGAAGACGACTGATATTGCAAACATCATACGTGATGTTTAAAGGAGAAGAAGGGGATAGCAGTCTGGTGCTGTAGCATTGGATGTTTCAGGTCAGATACTTACTTGCTAAAAGTATTCCTTTTCAGTTTGCATTATTTGAAAATAACTTTAAGAGGTTCTTGATTTCTTAGTCATTTACTATTTCAGTGTATTAAGCCCTGAAATACAGCATTTTCCTACATTTTCTCTTACCATATCTTCTTAAAATGACCTTTAGTAATTACTTTTTTTTATGGTTACATATAACTTAATATTACTTGGGAAAACTTACTGGAAAATTAAAATCATTTCCTACTTACAAATGTGTCTCTTAAGTGTGTGTACACTGTAACTTTTGCTCTTGGCAATGTTGAATCAAACTTGTATGCTTACCTTTTGAAAAAAAAATAGATAAAATGGTAGATTGAAGTAGCAATCACTGTTATTGTCAAGATTAAAATGAATCATAAAATTACATTTCTCACATCTTTCAATTTATCTTAGGCCATTGGCTAAAAGTAGATATTTCTAAGTAAAGCTTTTTTATATGCATGTACCCAAAAGACTACTGTGATAAACTGATATGCCATCGGTTTATATCTCTGCATTCATCAGACTTAAACCTCTAAAATGCAGCTTTTAGCCAATGATTTTTTTCAAATAATGCTTTCCTTATCAAAAGGATTGGCTTCATTTCTTATCTATACAATTATACCGAACTTGAAAAGATGTTGCCTTTATTTAGCTATATTAATAAGTATATAATTATGTATTGTTGGTATTGATTTTAATAGCATTATCTTTTCATTTGAAAACAAAATTTTCTCGAGACCATAATTTAGTAACAAAGTATTATGAGACTTAATATGCATATATATATGTTTTTTTCTTATTTTTAATTTCTTAAATAAATTTCAGAATTGTTGAAACATTTTGTATCTGGAGAAAAAAATTGTATATTCTAACTGATACTTCCCTGTTTAAATTTAAATGTTTTATGTTATCAGGATATAGTTTATAAAATAAAAGATTGTTAATAAAGTGTTTGCTTTGGGGTATTTTTCAGTTATCACTGATGCTAATAAATAGTGTTACTGTTTTTATTACTTTAAACACAGAACCTTTTAGTGAGACTTAAGATTCGAGTAGGGGAAACTAGTGAAATTCACATTTTATGTTCCTTCCATCAGGCGGCTGATGAGCCTGCCTACCTGACAGTGGGAACGGATGTAAGTGCCAAGTACCGAGGTGCCTTCTGTGAGGCAAAAATTAAGACCGTGAAAAGACTGGTGAAAGTTAAGGTAATTTTTTTTTCTTTTTATGTAACAGCATTACTAACTCTAGATTGAAAATTGTTAGGGAGGAAGGGCATACTTCAAATCAACATTTCATTTATTAATCATTACTTTGTACAAACACTGTTATACGTAAAACTATAAGCACATTAAGGTTTGAGCAATAACTCAAAATGAGAAGTTATTTCAAAGTGCTTCTATGAAAATGCCATGTTCATGATACTTTCTATCATTTGGATCTTTCCTGTTTGTGGCATCATGTTTACTTAGGCTGTAATTTCTTTTTTGTTTTTTTCATGATGTTCACATAGAGACAATTTCAAGTGATTATGAATAATTATACAGTGGGAATTGTGTTTTCAAGATAGCATTAAAAACGATTTAGCAAATTTATTTTTAAGATGCTTTTATGACCATAAAAAAACTTAACACATTATTTGTGTACAATATTTGGAAATCTAGAATGTACCTAAGGATTAATGCCTATAGTTTACCTCTTAGAAATACTACTATTAGCATTTTTTTGTTTCCTTATGTAATTTTCCTATATAAATGTTTTTAATAATCTTAGTTATAGTTCATTAATTCAGCAAACATTTATTAAGTGCCTATAATATGCATTGACATTTACTAACTGCTGGGCCTATAGTGATGATGGAGGACTAGAGCCTTCAAGGAGCTCACAGTTAATGAGAGAGACAATAAACATAAATACAAGACAATGTAATAAGTATTATAACAGAAGTAACCACAGGATGCTAAGAGAGCATAGACTAAAGACATTGTTGTTAGAGTATCACCATAAATGTATTGTTTTGAAACTAACGTATGAATTACTGTGCAAAAATATTTTTCAGGTACTCCTGAAACAGGACAATACTACACAGTTGGTGCAAGATGACCAAATAAAAGGTCCTTTAAGAGTATGTATGTTCTACATTTAAAAATATGAAATGATGAATAATTAATTTACACAATACCTTATTGAATTTTACATTTGTAGATATAATTTAAAATTTTTAGAATGTTAGAGAACAAAATACAAATGTGATGCTATATAGTTAGTATAAATTATGATAATTCAGTGGCTATGTCCTTAATTTAAGAAGGTTAAACATCTTATGGGAGCATAACTTTTAACATATATAAACATGAGTTTTCAGCCCCGCCCTTTTAATTCTTGTATTTAATGCTTCATTTTATTTTTTAGGTGGATATATATATTTAGCTTGCTAGGTAATATACTAATATAACTCTCAATCTTCTGTTATTCTTTCTAACATACCAAGTAAACTATTGACTTCATAATTGAATTTAATGACTACCTATATTAAGTTTTTCATTCATTTCTGGCCATTTGTTTGTATAATCTTTGTTCTGTCAGAATACTATTTTAGTTAATATCTGATATGCAAAGGCTCGGAAGCTGAAAGAAGGTCAACTGGTCCATCTCTCTCTCTTTCTCTTTCTTTAAGTGAAATTTTTATCTAAAAGGTCCCTTAAATATTTCTATGAAAGAAATTGAAGCTATTTTTGCTGTGTTGTATGGTTTTTTGGCTCTTACATTCCACAGTTTTCTTAAAGACGTGTTATAGTATTATAAAAAAGTTCTGGTTTTCTTCCTGTATCCTGCAAATTATTTTCTCTTTCTGAGCCACAATTCTCAATGTGTAAAATAGGGGCAATAATAACTTTTTTACATATGACAAAAGGGAGCTCCAATTGCATGATAAATGTACGAGCACTATTAATGATAAAGACCTAAGCCAATATAAGGTAGAATTATCCTAAGAAGTATTTTTTTACCCAGGTAGTAGTGATTTGGTTTGTTTACATTTGGAAATGAATTTTTCATTTTGGGTTTTAGGTTGGAGCTATTGTTGAAATAAGGACATCCGATGGATCCTTTCAGGAAGCTAGTATCAGCAAGTTGACAGATGCTAGTTGGTATACTGTAGGTAAGTAGTTAAGTAATAATTTAATCCATAGGATTGGATTTGTAGGTTGCATATACCTCTATTTTGTAAATACACTGAATCATTATGTGGCAGAGAAATAAATATTCTTTCTTGTCATTTAACTCTTACAGTAACTTGGCTTTTGTAGCTATTTCACCCAAGATTATATGGTAATTTTTGTCCCATAAGAAAAGTCAACACAACTGAGTATTATAAATAATCAGACTTTTTAACTTTCTGTAATCACAATTCGGATTGCATAATTGCAATCTTTTTTTTTTGGAGTGTGTGTGTGTGTGTGTGTATTGCTACCTGTTTTATATAAGAGTAGTATAGATGTTAACCATGGGAGAGTAGATTCAAGCCTAGGTAATCATAGTTTAATTTTTAAATATGATACAGTGAGGGTAAGGAAGATATATGTGTGCTAGCTTTGTCAGCACATATACTAAAATTGGAATGATATAGAAAAGATAAGCATGGCTACTGTGCAAGGATGACATTAAAAAAAAACAAAGAAAAAGATATGTGTTACTAATATGAATGCACTTTAACATTCCATACATAACCTTATACTGGTTTTAAAAACTTAAGTGAATAGCAAGTATCATAATACAACTAAATTAAAACCTAAATGTAGTGCTTAGATAGTTGCTGTCATTATGTTGATGAGAATGTCAGTAATTAAAATTCCTAAATTTTCTCTCAGTATTTCCAAACTGTACATATGTGGATAACATCCTTGGTTTTACATGAACATCTATGTCATTGTTTTTTATGTTAAGTCTTGGTACAAATAGTATAATGACAGTGATGTGGTTTCCTTGTAGAAGAGAAATAGCCCTTAGATTTACTTAATTTGTCGCTTTGGGTAAAAAATATTTATCTGCAAGTTGTTCAAAGCTGTGAAGAACATACTTTGGTTAACAATTGTACTTCTTGTCCCCTCTCCTACCCTTGTGGCTTCTATTAGTACTAGTAGCAATTTATGAACCTGACTAGTACTATACTGCTCTTTCCTAACCATTTTTATTCTTGGATTTCCTAGAAGTTGGTATTGGTTCACAGTGGTTTCTTATTCTGAACTATGTATTTTTAGGAAGCTTAGTTGTGGCTATTGGTAGATGTTAGAGGTTTAAAAACTAAGCTAATGTTTGCTCTTAGAGAGTAAGTAAATACAGTTTTGCTATATTAAATAAGGCAGTGACAAAAATTATAGGAGTTGATGTGTGCAGAATCATGGTAAATTATATGATGCATGTTCAAATACTAATACTTCATTCTATTTGGTGTCCAATATCAAGAGTATTGCATTCATAGTACTTGTTTGGTTTTATTGATATAATGGTCACACTTCTGCAGAAGCAATACTCTCCAGGTTTTCACATTCTTGATTTCTAGACCCTAGAATAATCCTTCAATTGTGGATAGCAACCTCTATCCTTTATGTGAAAGGCTTTTTAGCATTTCTAAAAACTAGTTGCTATTGAGCATTCTCTATAGTGATTTTCCCATTGGCAATTACAGAATTCTTGTTCTCAAAAGAGTTTAGAATTATAATTATATATAATTCATGTATTGCAATTACTAGTGTACATACGAATCACTTAGTGCTTGTCTAAAAATTGAGATTTAAGGACTCCAAGTCTTTCTAATTTAGTAGATCAGGAGGTGGCAACCCAAGAATCTTTTTTATATGCATAACGGCTGAATCTAATGTAGCCAGTACATAGGAAAACAAACCACACTTGGAGAAACAGAGACTTATTCAGGAGAAAAATTAAAAATATTTAAGATCTTTGTATGTGTGAAATGAGATAATTATCTAAAATATTTAAGGCATGAAGAGACACTATTCACTTAATTGTACTCAATATAGCACTCTACTATAAAGAATGTTTAAGTACTGAAGGATGTAAGCTACATAAAGGATAATTTGAATATAATGAGCTTAATCCATTGTATGCCTTAAGCATCTGTAAACACAATTAAAGACCTTCCCCACACGCGGCTTGTCTATTTAAAAAAAAAAGTTTTCCCTATGTGGCAGCCCTGACCAACTTTGAAATAATTTTTCCTGAGAATTTTCAGCTGAAAATATTCAAGTAAACCCGAATTGTAAGTAACATGTTTACTTTTATAATATTCCTTGCAAATTGATTTTTTAAATTAAATTCAAAATGTGGCATGTGGGAATGGTTTTGTTTTGGACATGTGGTAGTCAACTAGTTAAGAGAGGCAAAATGAAATGATCTCTTACAGATCATGAACTTCCTATATTTTTCTTTGATTAAATATCTACTACCTATTTAATTGCTCTTTTCTGAAAATGTACTTGATTTCTAGTTCATAGGAAAGTGCTGTATAGGTAGAAACAGAAAGTTATACAAAGTATGAATGTTCTTCATGATTATTTATGAGGTCTTGAATTTATGTCAGAGTATTAAAAATCGAAACAAGGCCTAACTGGTTTGGCTCAGTGGATAGAGCATCGGCCTGTGGACTGAAAGATCCCAGGTTCAATTCCAGTCAAGGGCATGTACCTTGGTTGTGGGCACATCTCCAGGGGGAGGTGTGCAGGAGGCAGCTGATTGATGTTTCTTTCTCACTGATGTTTCTAACTCTCTATCCCTCTCCCTTTCTCTCTGTAAAAAATCAATAAAATATATCTTAAAACAAAACAAAGAAATCGAAATAAAGGAGGATACCCTACTGCTGATTTGGATCAGACAGGAGCAATGAGTCAGTGATAGTAACAGATATTAACTTTTCCTATTATAGCTTAATAACCAATTTTGAAAGAGGTTTTAGATCTACTATAACACAATTTTCAAAATCTAATACTACTTTGCCTTCTAATGGTGAACAATAAATAGCTCCAGCTTATAGGTTTTTTTGTTTTTTGAAATACTTCATATCATAAAACAGTGCTACCTAGCATAGTTTATTCATTTGACAGTTCTTTTCCTTGCATTAAAGATAAGGAATTTGTAATGTGTGGAATTGTGTTGTTAAATGTCATTTAAAGATATCAAAATTTGGAATAGAATTCATATCTACATTTTTTAATATTGCCAATAACTCCTGGTAAATACAACACCTCAATAAGACATTCTAAAGCTACTCCTCTTTTGCCTTTATGGGGTATGAAAATAACTCATTGATTTGAAAAATAAGGGAAAAAATTACTGTTAAATTTAGTAACTTACATATAAAATGTACATATACATTATGTATCAAATTTAACACTAAAACCTATTTGATCATTTATATGTTTTTGTGACAAATTATTTTTTAAGATTCTTGATTTTTTTTTCATGCCTTATAGTTATTCTGCACATAAATCATATCAGATCTCCATCAGATGGATTTCTAGTTTAGATTAAACTGGTGAATGGACTGACATTTCTTTTGGAATGTGCTGAAGGCTTATAAGACTTTTAGTATAGTTAAAGCCTCTTCTGACAACTGTTATAACCGAAATCAACCACAAAATGTTTTCAAAACTAGGTGGTTATTCCATTGACTGGAAAACTAAAAAATGTACTAAACAAAAAATCTACTATTCAGTCCTGTGATAGGATTTAACCCATTGTTTAAATGGCCTTTCATGAGACTTAAAATTCCCATATTTTAATCTAATTAGACATTTGAATGTTAATTTCTCAAGTTTATAGATTCCTGAAGTTTTGTTTTCTTTTTGTTTTTAAAAAATATATATTTTATTGATTTTTTTACAGAGAGTAAGGGAGAGATATAGAGAGTTAGAAATGTCGATGAGAGAGAAACATCGACCAGCTGCCTCTTGCACACCCTCTACCGGGGATGTGCCCGCAACCAACGTACATGCCCTTGACCGGAATCGAACCTGGGACCTTTCAGTCCGCAGACTGATGCTCTACCGCTGAGCCAAACTGGTTTTGGCATTCCTAAAGTTTTTTACCTTAATTGTTGAAGGACTCTCAACAGATGATTTTATGAATAACAGAACTATTGATTTTTCCTGGGGTATGCATCTATTTTTTATTTTTTTTTATTTTATTTTATTGATTTTTCACAAAGAGGAAGAGAGAGGGATAGAGAGTTAGAAACGTCGATGAAAGAGAATCATCGACTAGCTGCCTCTTGCACACCCCCTAGTGGGATGTGCCTGCAACCAAGGTACATGCCCTTGACCGGAATCGAACCTGGGACCTTTCAGTCTGCAGGCCGACGCTCTATCCACTGACCCAAACCGGTGCCGGCCTATTTTTAACTTTAAAGTTTTTACTCCATATGTGGAATATTTTGTTAATCATAACAGCAATACACAGACATAATAATACTTATTTTTCCAAAGCCAGAATTCGTTCATTTTATACCTCTGCTTCATACCTATTTATTATGCATTTTGATCCCTTTTGACTAAATTGTAGCTCATTGATTAACTTTCTGATTCTCAATTTCTTTATCTATAAAAGGAAGGTAATTATTCCTTCTTACAGTGGCTGCTGTGATGGTCAAGACATGGTAGAAACTTAAGTGATAATCAGTTACATAGTGAGTAAATAAAGTTAGTTTACTGTTATTTTCTTACTATTCTCCAGCAACTGGCAGTGTTAGGATAGACTACTATGTATTAAGTAGTTAGATTAGATCCTGGTTGGCTTTTTTTTCATTGAATTCTAACAGTTTAGGATTAGGCTTTGTATATTTGTTTGCATTGGTATTATTTTGCCTAAAATGAGTAAAGTTAATTGAGAGATTCTCAGCTTTATAATTTTTCTCAAATTAGGTTTTAGTATTTATAATATAATAACAGATACTACTTTTGTTATATCCTACTGCACTCAATGAATAATCTATTTAAATGCAAGTATAAGAAATTTCATAGAATTACTAAATTCTAATAGCCTTACATGGTTTTTTTTCCTCTTGGCTTGCTGTAGTATACATCTTAAACTGAAAGAACCTGAGTTTAAGTATACCATTTACTTATTCACTTATCAAAATGCCAAAGTCACTTTTCAATGCCTATAAATTTTGTGTTCTTTTAAATGATTCTTAGAAGTTATAGAGAAAACTTCTTATAGGTAGAACTTTCATGATTTTGATAATCAGGATATCATGATTAATAGGTCTACCTTGCTGTTGGGTTTTCTAATTGCCTTTCAGAAAAATCTTGAGAAATCACATAGCTTAACAGACTTGTTAAAGTACACAAATACACAGTTTTTCATAGTTTTGTGAATTTAAAAAAAAGTCTTAATACTGTTTCTCTTTGTTCATTTGAAGTGGGAAGGGTTCCTATGTAAAGCTGTGAAATTGCTCCACAATCTGCTGTGGAGAAGTTTCTTTGGTTCTTATATTATTTCTACTGATGGTAAATAAAATGTGATGGGTGAAATGAATTTTTTCCCCCCAAAAATCTGATTTATTTCAAAATGGTTATTTTGAAAAACAAAAATTAATTATGTTAAACTTGAAATTTCTCATAAAAAGATTTTGACTTGGGTTGTCATTGATTTTAATGATAAAAAACTGGTGAAAGGTTTTGTGGCCTAAATTTAATATTAATTGAACTTACAGTCTCATTTTCCTTCCTTACCCCTCCACTTAAATGTGTGTGTATATGAGTATGTATGTGCGTATCCAGTGTTACCATCTTTGTAATGTAGGCATTAAGGAAAATTGGAACTTTAAGATTTTATTCTTTAGTATCTTATGGATTTTAATATTAATGTGAAGCATTATTTTAAATTTGGTACATCTCTCTCTTAAATTTGGTACAATAAGTTTATGATTTTTTTTAAAGTATTTTATTGATTTTTTACAGAGAGGAAGGGAAAGGGATAGAGAGCTAGAAACATCGATGAGAGAGAAACATCAACCAGCTTCCTCCTGAATAACCCCTACCAGGGATGTGCCTGCAACCAATGTACATGCCCTTGACCGGAATCAAACCCAGGACCCTTCAGTCCACAGGCTGACACTCTATCCACTGAGCCAAACCGGTTTTGGCATGATTTTGAATTTTATAAAGAACAGTGGTTTATTATTAGACTTGACCCCTTATAAATCATAATTTTGATACAAATGTTTGTTGAGAGCACTGTTAAGAATAGATTAATGATGTAATTGTTGGAAGATGCTGTTTTATCCTGTCATTCTGTCTGCCTGCAAATGGTCATTAATTTCTGCATCATTGACAGTGTATAAACCAGCTATTTTGTGGGATCATTATGGTTCTTTGAATATGTACTTCAGTAGCTGTTAATTATCTCTGTATTGTCTCCTGCATGTAAGAAAATCTAAGCTAAATGTCTTTAGTCTAAGAAAAAGTTCTGAATGTGGTAGATAGATAGTGAAGAAATAGAGTGCTCTTACATAATTGAATTTCTGGCATGAAAAATTAAGTTTATGATTTGAAGGCAAAATACTAATAAAACAACCTTTTAAAAAAAAAAAGGCAGGGATAGCCTGGTCCGGTAGCTTAGTTGGATAGAGCATTATCCTGATATGCCAAAGTTGCGGGTTCCATCCCAAGTCAGAATACATATAAGAATTAACAAATGAAATCTTAAATAAGTGGAACAACAAATCGATGTTTCTCTCTCCCTCTCTCTTCTCTCCTCTATCTCTAAAATCAATTTTAAAATTTTAAATGCAGGATTGTAATTATATAGATAAAGTAAAATATCTATTATTAAATTAAGGTAGTGCAAACTTTTCTTTTATTAACACTAACCTATTTTGTTAGAATGGAAAAACAGCAAGCAGCTTTTTGGCTGCTTCTCAAATCTGTCTGGTTCAGCCTCCTCGCCTCTACTGCAGTCTCCGCCATGTCCACAGGGTGATCCAGAAGACCTATATGGTGTTTGCCTCTGGCTCCAGGGTCTTTAGCAGCTGCTTATACTCCCATGGACCTGCCACCCACATCATCTCCTTGGCGTTTTCCTGGGTGGGCAGCAACTAGCGGAGTGGCCTGGGGTTATGACGGGGCTGAGAGTATGGGGAGCATCATAGTTGTCTAAGTGAGCCAGAGCCTGCTGACTCCTCTGAAGCTGGAGGTGGACCCTAACATCTAGGCCATGTGCAACCAGAGGAGCAGATCAAGATCCTCAACAAGTTTGCTTGAAGCCTGGAGCAGTAGAGTAAGATTCTGGAGACCAAATGGAACCTCCTTCAGCAACAGTATACAACTCACAGTCACATGGACATTGTTTTCGAGAGCTACATCAATAACCTTCAGCAGCAGCTGGTTCGGGAGGAAGAGTTTGGCAACATGTAGGGACTGGTGGAGGACTGGAGGAATAAGTACGAGGATGAGATCAACAAGCACACAGATAATGATTTTTTCCTTACCAAGGAGGTAAGCTTACATGGATGAAGCTTATATGAGCAAGGTAGAGTAGAGCTGGAGTCCCGCATGGATGGGACGACCCTGCCTGATGAGATCAACTTCTACAAGTTACTGTATGAAGAGGAGATTCATAAACTGCAGTCCTAGATCTCTGACACATCTGTGTCAGAGATGTGGATAACAATTGCTCTCTGGACCTTGATGGAATCATTGTTGAGGTCAACACCCAGTATGAGGACATTGCCAACCGAAGCTGGGCTGAGGCTGAGTTTATGGACCAGATCAAACATAAGGAACTGTTGGCTGGGAAGCATGGGGGTGACCTGCACGACACGAAGACCTAGATTTCTGAGCTGAACCAGAACATCAGCGACTCATGGCTGAGATTGAGGGCCTCAAAGGCCAGAGGGCTTCTTCCCTGGAGGCCGCCATTGCTGATGCTGAGCAGTGTGGGGAGCTGGCCATTAAGGATGCTCAGCCACCTTGGACTGGAGGCTGCTCTTGAGAAACACCAAGCAGGACGTGGCTTGGAAGATGCAAAAGTGCCAGGAGCTCATGAATGTCAAGCTGGCCCTGAATGTGGAGATCAGCATCCACCACAAGCTGCTGGAGGGCAAGGAGAACCAGTTGAAATCTGGAATGCAGAACATGAGCACCCACACCAAGACTACCAGCGGCTACTCAGGTGGGCTGATGAACCCATCTTACGGAAACCTCAACTATGTTCTGGGCTTCCAGGCCAACTTGGGCTCTGGCGGGAGCTCTGCCTTTTTCAGCTGCACCAGCTCCTCCAAGACGATGGTGGTTAAGAAGATTGAGACCCACGATGGAAAGCTGGTGTCTGAATCATCTGATGTCCTCCCTAAGTGAATGACTACCAGGGTCTCTCTTGTCCTCCTAGCCTTGGGAAAGGAGCTGTGCAGGGGAGCAGCAGGCACAGGAAGCCCTGAGACTCAGCCCCAGGCCTAGCTCTCCCTTGAGGTGGGGGAGTTTACTGCCTGGGAGACCCCCTCTTTCCCATGCTCCAAACTAAAAGCCAATTAAATTTTCCCAAAAAAATAAAGCCATAGCTGATTCTGCAAACCATAAAAAAGCACATACAATGGAAAATATCTAAAATTATGATAAGCAGGTTTAAATCTTAAAATAATTTTTTTGTGTGTGTGTATGTATGTGTATATATATGTATATATATATATATCCATATGTTATTTTCATAAGTGTACATCCATTTGCTGATATGTCTATACATTTTAAGTGTCTGAAGTAAGGACTCCATTTTATGTTTTATTTCTTCATAATAGCTGGACAATCAGGTGTCTTCTGAGAACATTTTCTTTTTATAAGCTTTGTAAGTTTAGATATTAAAATCAGTACATTTCTGCAAAATTAAAGCTATAAAATTATCAAGATAATATAGCTACTTATATGGTAGATGTTAGTTTATTAATTGTTAAATTCTTTGCTCCCATTTCCTTAAAGTGTTTACAAGAAGTGTGATTTTTAAAAATTATAAAGTAAAAACTTTTATGAAAAGTTCCATGTGATTTTGACTAATTTTTGAGAATTTAAAAAAAATTTCAGCCTTTTGATGTTTTCCTTGTTTCAACCTGTATGTCTAAACTTCTTACATCCTCTTCTACCAAAATAAAAAAGTTGTATCTTATGACTTTAGAATCTATGGTAGGTTATCATACAAATAACTAGAAGTAAATAATACAACATCATTATCAGAAGTCAGTTTCTTGAAATTAGAGGTACTCCATTGATAACTTGGAAAAAAAAACATAACAGGCTAATAACACTCAGTTTTGTAAACCAGGTTTCTAGGAGTAAAAGCAATTTAATATTTGTGTTTTGACTATGCTGCTAATGGTTTAAAAAGGTGACGAGATGGTTTAAGCAGTTGGAGGCAGCCATTTAACTTGTTTGGTAACTATAAAATGAAAAATGTGCTATGTACATTTTAAAGGCTTTTGAAAAATAACAAATTAAGGTTCTTGCAAATATTTAACCTGAGATAAATAGAACGATATCATTCTGTGCAGTTATATTTTATTTGTGAGCATAAACTTTCTCTCTTTTGCTTATTATAGTGTTTGATGATGGTGATGAGAGGACATTGAGACGCACCTCACTTTGCTTAAAAGGAGAGAGACATTTTGCTGAGAGTGAGGTAAGGTGACACGGACTTGTGCGGTTGAACACAGTATACTCATGTAGAGAAAAATGTGACTCACTTTGTTTGTTTCTTATCCAGACACTTGATCAGCTTCCATTAACAAATCCAGAGCATTTTGGAACTCCAGTAATTGCAAAGAAGACGAACAGAGGAAGGAGGTCCTCTCTTCCTGTGTAAGTGTTAACATATACAGTAACATGAGAGTAATTATAACATTAAATGACTTTTCTAGGATGGGTAAATTTGTCTGGGTAACCTTTTCATAGCATCTGTATTATGTTAGATATCTATCCTGTGCCAACTTTGTTCTTAATTCTTCCCATTACTTTGTCAATAATTATCACATTCCTTTTTCAAAGAGGTTATTTTTGTTTTGAATTACATTGCCAAATTCCATAATTGATACAATAATTTTCTTAATTTTAGTGAGACTATGTAATTGTTTAACTTTTTTATTTCAAAAACATTTCAAACTTAAACATTTTAATTTATCTTTATTGTTATGACCTTTTTCCTTCCTGCTCCCACTCAGGCATACTACACTATTGTCTGTGTCCATGGGCTATGCCTATATGCATACTAGTGACCCGGCACACGGAATTCATGCATGGGAGGGGGTGTCCCTCAGCTCAGCCTGCACCCTCTCCAATCTGGAACCTCTCTGGGGGTTGTCTAGAGGGATTGGGCCTAAACTGACAGATGAACAGTCCTCTCACAATCCAGGACCACTGGCTCCTAACTGCTTACCTGCCTGATCGCCCCTAACCACTCTGCATGCTGACCTGTTTGCCCCAATACTGTTCCTCCCCTTGCCAGCCTTCTCACCCTCAACTGTCCCCCCTGCTTGCCAGCCTGCTCACCCCCAACTGCCCTCCCCTCTTGGCCTGATTGTCTCTAACTGCCTCTGTCTTGGCCCTGATACCATGGCTTTGTTTGGAAGGACATCTGGAAGGTCTCCCAGTCTAATTAGCATATTACCTTTTTATTAGTATAGATAAGCCCTTTGGTTAATCTCTTCCATCTTTCCCCACCCCTCTCAAACTTAAAATTTTAAAGAATATTACAATAAACCTTAATATATTCATAATCTAGTTTGACTAATTGTTAACATTTTTGGCACATCTGCATTGTCATTTTCTCTTTTTATAGGTACATATTATAATGTTTTAATTAAATAATAACTTTAATTGGTTGAACTATTTAAGAGGAAGTTGCAAGTGTCATGACCTTTTACCTCTTAAATACTTTACCTAGGACAGAACAAGGACATTTTCTTATATAACCAAAGTATGATTATCAAGATCAGAAATTTAACAGTATAGAATGCTATCTTTGCCTTTATAGCATTCTCTAATTCCAGGAAGCAGTCTAAGATCATGCATTGCATTTAGTTTATATGGTTCTCAAGTCTCTTTTAATCTGGAAAAGTTGCTCAGCTCCCTCCCCCCCTTTTTTTTGTATCTTTTCATGACATTTGATATTTTGAAAAGTACAAGCTAGTCTACTAGTTCTTTGCTATGGGTTTATATTATTGTTTAGTTATCTAGATAGGTCATCTAAATTACCCCTCAGATGTGTTTTCATAATCTGTCAGAAAATTATAGAGTTCTATTATCTGGCATACATAAAAAAAAAAATAGAAGGGAATCTTTTTAAAAATGTGTTTGGCACAGTAAGTTCTTCATGGTGACATAATTAGGCTTTTCTGTCCCAGTGGGTGGCTGGCAGGAGAGCTTAAGTTTGTGTCCTCATTGATCTAATGAAGTGGACTCAGAGTTATGGTGGACATCTCAGGACAACTACTGTGGGGCTTGGAAGTGTCTAGCTCTTCAATTCAAATAAGAATAAAAAGGGGTAATACAGATTAGAAATTGAGCTGTATGTATTAAATTCACACCTCTCTGACTATATTTTTCAAAGTGGTTATCTTAAGATTATGATAAAATTATTTCGACTTTTAGTAATGAAGATGAAAAGGAGGAAGAAACTACTGAAGATGAAGATGACGATAAGAGACGTCTCAATGATGAATTGTTAGGAAAAGTTGTAAGTGTGATATCTACTTCTGAGAAGACCGAATGGTATCCTGCTTTGGTAAGTAAGGTTTCTTTCCAAAATTAATCAACCAATCACACAAATTTAATTTGGACTTCATTGCAAAATTGAGCAGTCATGCTCAGATCCCACATACTTCGCTGTCTCTTTTTGTTATTTCCTCTTTAATTGTAATTCTCTGGAACCAATCATTTATTGCAGTGGTATCTTTTTTCTGCCAATGGCCATTTGGATATTTATCACATCATTCATGGGCCGTGCAAAATTATCAACTTAAAAATTAGCCTGGTATATTTGGTCAAACATGTAATTAACTCATTTCTAATGCCTTGGCAGGACCAAACCAAATGATTTCAAGGGTCTTTTGTGGGCCAAACATTCCCCGTCTCTGATTTATTGGAATTTGTCAATTCTTCCTTTAAAACAGTGTTAGTGGAGTTTACCCTGTTCTTTTTACCCTGTTCCCATTACCACTTTCTACCCGACCTATGGTAAGCTACCTCCTAAGTTCCCTTAACTTGATTATTGAATTTTTAAAATTAATTTTCTAGAAGTAACTTTTTCGGAGATTTAATTATGATAGTCTCATTCTTTAAAAAAAACAAACACAAAACTTTCTTTTTAAAAAAAAATTTTTTTTTTATTGATTTCAGAGAGGAAGAGAGAGAGATTGTAACATCATGAGAGAATCATTGATTGGTTGCCTACTAGATGCCCCCGACCAGGGTTCGAGCCCACATGTGCCTTTGACTGGAATCGAATGTGTGACCCTTCAGTCCACAGGACGACGCTCTATCCACTGAGCCAAACTAGCTAGGGCAAAACTTTCACTGACTGTGCCTGATGGATCAATTCTGCTTTCTTAAATATTTAAGGCCATCCTTACCTCTTGATTTGTTCCCATTCCCAATGTAAGCTCTCTACTCAGGTTCTTTCTCAATTTCTCCCTTCCTAAATCACTTCAATCCTCCTAGCCTTCTTAAATCATTAGTATTTTCTGAGGATCTGCAGTGAGTTCAGGTTTGTTCTAAGTTTCTTAGAAGAATGAGAAGTATGAGATTTGCAAAACATTGCCCTCAAGCATCTTACTAAACACATAGTAATGGAAAATTATATAGTAATTTTAAAAACTTTTTGGGCAGACACAAGTCAGGGAGTTACTGGAGAAAGAAAGGTACACTTAGACTTTGGAAATTCACGTCTTAGTAGATAGGAGAGTAGAGAAAACTAATATTTGCTTATTCAGGGAAGAAGTGAAAAGAATGAATGGGCAGGAGATTTATTTCATGAGAAGAATCAACAATATTTGGAAATACCTGTCTCCTCTTTATCCTCTTCCTATTTCTCTCTTAAATAAGTCTTAAGGTCCAACTCAAGTCCTACCTTTTCTGGAATATCCCCTAAACACTAACATAAATACGCCCTTTTTCTCTGAATTTTGATATTACTTGTATCTAATAATTTTGGCACAAAAATGTGTCCCAAATTAAATTAGAATCCTTTAAAAAGCTGAGGCCATTTTTTTTAGGGTTATTTGTGCATATAAATGCATCACTCAATCCCATATAAATGCATTACTCAATCCTATATAAGGATTTACCATATAGAGGAAAAGTCTGAAAATCCTTTGACTTATTCATTGTGCAGGCAGATAAGTAAATAAGGTTAGATCCGGAATATTCAGGTCATAATTTGCCAAGAGACTTAAAAAGTAACTATTCAATAGATTTATCCCTTTTCTGGTGATGTACAAAATAAAAGATGAGGAAGACACCAATCTACATTTGGTGATTTTATAGTCTTAATGCAGAAAGTGATTTAAGTAACTATACTAATAGTATATGTTTAATATTATGACTTCTTGTCTTGAGAGGCTATATTTATTTAGAGGAAATCCAGAAAGCCATCATAAAGAAGGTACTTTTGAGTTGGGCCTTGAAGGATTTAGAGTTAGTAAGCAGAGCTTCGTTAGAGGACTTAAAGGATACAAGATAATTAAAAGCAGAAAAGCAAGAGGTTTGTTCATGGAACTGTTTAATCTGGGAATTCATTTTGGCTAAATGTTATATGTGAGTAGGGGAATAACAGGAAATAGATTGAGAACATACCCTGGCTGGGTAGCTCAGTTTACTGTAATGTCATCCTGTACACCAAAAGGTTATGGGTTCAATTTACAGTCAGAGCCCATACCTAGGTTTTGGGTTTGATCCCCAATCAAGGCATGTATGGGAGGCAACCCATTGATGTTTCTCCCTTTCTCTCCCCCTTCTTCTTTCTCTAAAAATCAATGAAAGCATGTCCTTGAGTGAAGATTAAATTAAAATTAAAAAGATTGGGAAGATAATTTGGATATAGACCAGAAGAGTCTTTAAAAGTTCATCTAAGGAATTTGGACATAATTCTGCACAGTATTTTGCAGAAGAGTGACAGTATTTGAGCTGTGTTTGTAGGAATATTAACGAGGCAGTGGTATGTAGGATGGATTACTGTTAGAAAGGCTGGAAGTGGCAGGAACCAATTTGGAGGCCATTAGAATGATTCACAAATGAGGCAATTAAGCTTTGGGCTGTGCCTACTCATCCTTCAAGACGCACTTGAATCCTTTGCTACTACACCTTTTCCATCTCCAGGTTTGGTTGATTCTTCTTCCTAGATGCTTTCTTATTCTGAGCCTAGTGGTATCACTGTACTTACCCTCCATTGTGTTCTTTTGTGTATCTTGACCCTTTATTACAGAGTTAGCTCTTTGAAGGTAGACACAAATATATTACTATTTTTAAATATTCACCTCTCCTGCCTTTTTAAAACAATTTTTTTATTTTATTGATTTTTCACAGAGAGGAAGAGAGAGGGATAGAAAGTTAGAAACATCGATGAGAGAGAATCATCGATCAGCTGCTCTTGCACACCCCCTACTGGGGATGTGCCCGCAACCAAGGTACATGCCCTTGCCCCGAATCGAACCTGGGACCTTTCAGTCCACAGGCCGACGCTCTATCCACTGAGCCAAACTGGTCCTGGCACCTCTCCTATCTTTTTAAAAAATGTTTTTATTGATCTTTTTTCAGAGAGAGAGGAACAGAGAAACATCAGTTGGTTTTCTCCCATAGTGGAGATCAAACCAGCAACTTTTTGTTGCATCGGATGCTGCTCAGCCAACTGAGCCACACCGGCCAGGGCACAAATATATTATTACTGTAATAATTACCAGCACCTAACAAACATTTACTTCTGATATTAAGACAGTTTATTTGACTGCCAAGAATTTTTAATTATCTGGTTATATGCTATTTAATATAATAGCCAATGTGGCTATTAAAGTTTAAATGTAACAATTAAAATGAAATAGAATTAAAAATTTAATCTCTAAGTTGCACTAGTCACATTTTAAGTAATCAGCCCCATGTGGCTCATTGCTACTTATTGGTCAGATATGGAAGATTTTCAAAAAATTTATTTTCTTTCTTCATTGATTAAGGTATTACATATGTGTCCTTATACTCCTTTGTTCCTCCAATTCTCCTCTCCCCCACAGATATAGAAGATTTTCATCATTGAATAAGTTTTGTGGATAGTGCTAGATTATAGGAGAAGAGCTAGCTAGGGGTAATAATGAGCAGTACATGTCAGTAATTTATTGGTAGAGTTTAATATTTTAAAAATGTGAAATTCTATAAAGTACACAGAGACTAGTTATTTACATTTGTTATTTTTTAAGAAATTAAAAAGTTCTTTACTTAGATTTTCTCAGATTTGAGTTATCGAATAATTACTAAAAGTTGTACATGCCCCGGTAAGAAAGGGAATTTAGATAGGTGCTTATTTCAAAATAGATCCTGATTCAAGTATATTTTTAAAAATTAACTTGCCATGTTTTTATCATATATCATACATAATTTATTTATTTATTTATTTATTTATTTTTACTTTTATTTTATTGATTTTGTACAGAGAGGAAGGAAGAGAGATAGAGAGTTAGAAACATCGATGAGAGAGTGTCATCGATCAGCTGCCTCTTGCACACCCCCTACTGGGGATATGCCCGCAACCAAGGTACATGCCCTTGACCAGAATGAAGCTCTTTCTTATAAAATACTAGAGGTCTGATGCCAGCATTGGCTTCCCTTCGACTGTCAGCAGGCACCCGAGACCCGAGAATCCCTCTGGCCACCTGCAGGCATCCAGGACTCGGGCTTCCCTGCAGCCTCAGCTTTGTCTGAAAGGTCATCCAGAAGGACGTCCAGTTTAATTAGCATTTATGCTTTTATTATTATAGATAATCCACTTGAGAATATATTCTGTTTTTGAGCAAGGATAATAGGAATCAATGTGTTCTTATTTTTTATTTTAGGTAGTATCTCCCAGTTGTAACGATGACATCACAGTGAGAAAAGACCAGTGTTTAGTTCGATCATTTATCGATTCTAAATTGTGAGTAATGAATCACTTCATACATTGGGGGAGGAAAAATGGAATCACAGTGATAGAAAAGTTTTTAAAAGTTTAATCACTTCATGAACTGAATTTTTACTTATGTTTTGACTTTGTAATGTAGGTTATTTTTTACTTAAAAATTATAAAACCTGAACAACAATATGTGAGAATAATAGTAATAGTTTTTTAAATAAAGCATGATATTTTCTCTTTAATTGTAAAAATTCCATAATTTCTATGTACTATTACATATTATGAACTATGAAATAGTCTTTAAATAAAATTTATTTACCAGAACAATTATCTTGTCTTTTTTTCTGATTAAAAGTCAGATTTTTAGAAACTTTTCTTCAGCTCTGCTTTGTATCCATAAAAAGATGTAAAATTAAAAAAAAATATGAGTTATAATCCTCTGAAAAATTTAGTGCCATAATATATCTCATAATGATAAACATATTTTAATACTATCTTCTATTACATTTCTCTTTACTAAACCAAACAGAAAGTTTAAGAAATAATGAAAATCAAAATAGACATTTTTGTCTTCATAAGGAAAACATCATGCTGATAGAGAGTACCTTATGCTGTGTGTAGGAGAGTTGCATAGCTTAAAATATTACAAATGAGAGGCTCTCATTAATATACTTTGAGTATGTGACTCATCAGAATTAAGACACCAGCTTTGCATATGTTACCTCTTACTCTTTATTAAGGATTAAGATATATATGATCTTTTTAAAACATTTTATGTGCAAAGTAATTATGATTTTAAGGTTTATATTTTTTCTATATATTAACAAGGACTATTTAAATGATGATTTTTATTTAATAATAACTCCTTCCCTTTTCTTCTTTTCTATAATTAGTTATTCTATAGCAAGAAAGGATATCAAGGAAGTGGACATTCTCAATTTGCCTGAATCTGAACTCTCTGCTAAACCAGGTAAGATAAGGATGAATCAGTGCATTATTTCATGATGTGGCTGTAAGTAGCTAAACTGACTAAAGCAAGACAGACTATTCTCTGGTGCCTTTTTAACTGTTTAGAGTTGATATCCACTCCTTTTTTTTTAAACCACAATTTTTTTTATAAGGTTAATTTCTTTTTTAAAATATATTTTTATTGATTTTTTACAGAGAGGAAGAGAGTGGGATAGAGAGTTAGAAACATCAATGAGAGAGAATCATCGATCAGCTGCCTCTTGCACACCCCCTACCGGGGATGTGCCCGCAACCAAGGTACATGCCCCTGATCAGAATCAAACCAGGGACCTTTCAGTCCACAGGCCAACGCACTATCCACTGAGCCAAACCAGTTTCGGCTCCACTCTTATTTGTTGGCTATTTTTTGAATGCCTAGACATTTATAATTTTCAGATGAGGATTACTTTTCATGTTTTACCATTAAGATTTCTTAACAGTACTTTCTAGAGTAATAAACATTAATATGACATTGTAAGTTATGAAAGGTGTTCGAGTGTATTGTATTATTTTGTGTGTGGGTGTGTGTGTGTGTATTTATTGTTTTTAGAGAGGGAGGGAGGGAGGGAGGGAGAGAGAGAGAGAGAGAGAAACATCAGTGATGAGAGAATCATTGATTAGCTGCACACCCCCTATTGGGGATCGAGCCTGCTACCCAGGCATGTGCCTTTGACTAGAATCGAACCTGGGACCCCTCAGTCCACAGGCCGATTCTCTATCCACTGAGCCAAACCAGCTAGGGCTGGTTGTTTTATAAGTTGAATTTGAACCCAGATCATTTGACTGAATATTAGCCTTTCAGTCATGTTATGCTAATTCTATAACAATTGCTAAAGTGTGTTTTAAATCTTAGGGCTACAGAAAGCAACCATCTTCTTAAAAACTAGAGTTGTTCCTGATAATTGGAAAATGGATATAAGTGAAATCCTTGAGTCATCTAGCAGTGATGATGAAGATGGCTCCCGTGAAGAAAATGAGGAAGAGAAGGAAAAGGAGGCCAAAAAGGAAGAAGAAGAAGTGGTAAGTGAAATTTTGTATTTGTAACACATAAAAACATTTTAATATAGAGGCCTGGTGCATGAGATTTGTTCATGAGGGGAAAGGGGTCCTTCAGCCCGGCCTGTGCCCTCTCGCAGCCTGGGGCTCTCGCATCCCAGGACCCTTTACTCCTTATCACCTGCCTGAGTGGAGGCAAGAAAGGCTTCTGCCGCCCCTGCTGTGCTGGACAACCATGAGCCAGGCTTCTGGCTGAGTGGCACTCCCCCTATGGAAGCTCCTGCATTGAGTATCTGCCTCCTGGTGGTCATTGTGCATAGATTTGTGTATTGGGCTTTTATTATATGGGATACTCTAAAGCAGTGGTTCTCAACCTTCCTAATGCCGCGACCCTATGGGTGTAGGCTCTACAGCAGCGGTTCTCAACCTGTGGGAACCCACAGGTTGACAACCGCTAGCAGGGTTGCCTATGACCATCGGAAAACAGAGATATTTACATTATGGTTCATAACAGTAGCAAAATTACAGTTATGAAGTAGCAATGAAAATAATTTTGTGGTTGGGGGTCACCACAACATGAGGAACTGTATTAAAGGGTCGCAGCATTAGGAAGGTTGAGAACCACTGTTCTAAAAGGCGAAAGATTTATGCGGTCTGAAGAGAAACCAGAGCATAGAGAATCACTGTTCTAAAGTAAAAGTTATACTTTTGTATTTTTCCCCTCTGTTTAGAGTAGGGTTGGGGAACCTTTTTTCTGTCACAGGCCATTTGGGTAGTTACAATATCATTTGCAGGCCATACAAGATTATCAACTTAAAAATTAGCCTGCTTTTTTGGTCAGACATTTAATTAACTCACCCCTAATGCCTTAGCAGGGCCTAAGAGATTTCAACGGCCTTATTATGGCCTGCGGGCCCAACATTCTGGTTTAGAGTCTCTATTACTTGTTTCTATCTTCTTCTGGTTCATCTTGATTTAGGAGAGAGGGTTTGTTTGTTTTTTGGCTTCTAGGTTAGTGGGCAAATCAGGACTAATTTTTACCCAGTAAGAGGTTACAAAAAAGAACTCTTCAGGTAAATCAAGGGCAAATTTTATTTTTACTTTACTACCTTTCCCAAACAACCAAGAAGTAAAGAAATGTGTGTAGGAGTTACGTGTGTTAACTCATTTAAATGTTTCTATGTGGAGTAACTGGTGTTATCCTATTTTAAAGCAGAGAAAAGTGATGGTCATAAAGTTAAATAACTTTTCAAGGTGACCCAGGTTAAATGTGGAGAACAAGGATTTGAACCTAAGTCTGGTCTGTCTTAACTTCGAAAACATGACCTCTTTGAGAAATTTAACAGTATCTCTAGGATAATGGGTATAAAAAAATTCTATCCAAACTGAAAGAAAATTTCTTTTGGCAGTTTGATCGGTCATAGAAAAGATTAATATTATATTTTTTAAGTGCTGATGGCTTTTTTTGTAATTTAATATGTCATTTAGAGTATATAATTGTAGGAAATCATTCATGGAATTCCACGTAATTATTTACATGACTATTGTCTATTTATTCAGTAGTGTTTTATCAAATGGGATAAATTGTCCAGTGTATTTTTGGTTATTATGAGGTAAAGAGTTTGGGGATAGACAAAGAGAATGAGTTTACTGAAAAGGAAGACCTCCTTCTTTGAGCATGAAAAATATTTGTTTGAAAAATGTGGAATGCTTATTTCTGTTTTATATTTACAAATATGAATTCATGAAATAAAATTAGTACACTTGTATGTGATGAAGAGCATACAACATTTCTCTCCTTTCACTTCCCCTGCAGTATTTGGTTTTTTGCACTCTGAAATCAGAATGGCGGTTCATACTTAGAGGCTGCCTACATAGTTGCCATAGTAACATGCTGTTGGTTTTAAGTGAGCATGCTCGGAAAGACAGGAAGGTTTAGCAGAGGCTTGGCAGGTTGCCAATGGAGGTTTGCCAGATGCTTTGAAATGGGCTGTCTTTCTTTTCCTTTCATGTAATGTCTGATTTTTATGTGGAAGAGAATGTAAGTAGTGCTGTATAACCCTGCGGATGCTATGCCCTAAGAGGGAAAGCAAATATTTGCAAGTCAGACTGAAAAATGTTCAGACACTGTACTGATTAAGTAGAAGGGGAATCTAACCATATTGCATTTGAAAGAAAATGCAGCATATAGGTAAGATTTTTTTTTATATTTAGTTACCATTTTTATTGCCAAAATGAGGTTAAATAGGAATTTTAGGTATTGGTGTTGTGGCTGATATGGTAGGACTCGTAACCGAGCGTAATTGTTTTTGTAAAAGAGACAGTAGGAGTCTATTTTTAGAATATCAGAGGATGAAGGCTATTTTTCTGAAACATAAAATAGATTTTGAAATGAAAATGAAAAGGTAGTTTGGCAAAATTAAGAATTTAAAGTTAAATATTAAATGTGATTTTTGTATTTTATCTGTATTTATAGATTATATGTTTTCAGGATAAATAGGCCACATTTTCAGGGTGTGAACTGTTGCAGTCAGGTTTTGATATTTTTTCTAAATTATTAAGTTAGTGTCTTGTATTGCCAATTATTGAAAAAAGATTAGCCTATTTTTGCTAGTACTTTTAATTGGTATTCCTTTCAGAATGCATTTTCCCTATTCCCCACCCCCCAAAATACCCTGAAATTTTAAACAAAGAGGGAAAAAAGAGCTCTGTTGTAAGATTGGAGAAGATAGCTTTAAAATAGTAAGTAGTGCTCTTATTACAGCTATTAATTTCATAAAAACCATAATGTTTTATTTAAGCCACGAGTAAATATTAGTAAAAAAGAATGAAGAGCAGAGGCTCTGTCACCTATAGGCTCTGTCACCTATTGTTTGCAGGTAATAAGTAAAGAAATTAAAAAGGTAAGGACTTTTGTAAGGCTAGCATCTTCTTATAATGTATTATTTAAGTTATGAACCTGCTAAAATTAAGTGAACCAAGATGCTTTTTATGTACTAAAAAATAAAAGCAAAATGTAGGCACTGATTTATATGATTGTCATTTAAAATTATTTTTCAAATGGTTATTTTCATAACATACTTTATTGAATTCATTGATAGAAAGTAATTCCTCTTTTTCTCTGGCTATATAGGCAGATTTTCTTGAGTGAGATTTTGATTGCTTTAGAAAAAAAAATCAGCTGCAGTTTTGCTCTTGGATTTAAGATTTAGTTGCTGAATCATTCTAACTGGTCTGGAACAGTAATTTTAAAAATTGGCATATTGATAAACTGAAAAGCAGGTGAATCTATATGTAGCAAAAGGGAAAAAAATGGGTATGCTATAAAATGAATTAAAATCTGATAAGCTAGGGCCTACCTGGCTTAGTCATTACAGGCCTTTACTACATAAGTGAAGCTAAGCTGTTGTATTACATTACAGATCATATTTTTTCCCAAAATGCAATTATGGTAGGCTTTTTATGAACATTTAATGTAGCTTTCCAATGATCAAAAAGATCTTCTATGACATTCTGTAAACCACTACAATAATACTTCAGCCTGTCATTTGGTGTTTGTAAATTTTATGCAAGAGAATCATACAAGTGTTAGATACTTCTGCAGTATTCATGGGCAGTGGACATTGTTTTTATATTTCATGCTTTGAGTGTCCTAATATAGCCTTGATAAGGAAACTTGAGATTCCATGACTTTACCATTACTTAAAATTATTTGAATTCCTAAAAATTGGTAGTTTAGGATTCTTGTACGAGAAATATATTTTATACTATCCTGGATGGAAAAAGACTTGAGTGTTTGACAGGAAGTAGATGATACCTATCTTGATGGCTTTAAATTTTACCTCACTGGTAAGTGGAGAATATTTTCGAAGATATTACTTAAATGTCTTTTCCTTAAGAAAATTTTATATTAAAAATATATTACTGGATTTCCTTTTGAGCTTTGAAATTACTTGGATGTCCATGTAAACATAAAATAATGATGTCAGTTATTTATTTACTCCTGACATATTCACTTTGGATGAATATAGGAGAGTTTTCTAAACATAAAGTAAATAGGTGATTGCTTAGAAGACTAAATATAAGGGGAGAATTTGGTCAGTCTTAGATTCTTTATCCTTTTGGTTTGTTATAGGTAGGCTTATGTGTTGAGCCCCTTCAAAAATCTTTTCTGGTTTCACATTTAGTAAAGAAAATTAGAATTAAGTGAATTTTTATAAGAAATGTTCATTTTTGGCTGAAACCAGTTTGGCTCAGTTGATAGAGCATCGGCCTGCGAACTGAAAGGTTCCAGGTATGATTCCGGTCAAGGGCATGTACCTTGGTTGCGGGTACATCCCCAGTAGGAGGTGTGCAAGAAAACTGATGGATGTTTCTCTGGCATTGATGTTTCTAACTCTCTGTCTCTCTCTTTCTCTCTGTAAAAATATCAATAAAAAAATATATTTTAAAAAGTGTTCATTTTTGTTTAGAAGTGTTGGTACCAATTTTTCTGATCTTTGCATTAACTAGTGATCACTGTTACATTTCATGCGTAGAATTATATTCCACTATTATAAAATCATAAATGCTTGAATTTTTTATTCATGGAAATTGGAAAGTATTTCAATGTTCTCAGTTTATTCTTGGAGACTTAGTGATTTTTAAAGTAAGATTGTTTACTTAATCCTCACAACAGGATTTTTTATGACTGAGAAAACTTAGATGACAAATTTTTCATAGAGTTTTAAGAATATTGTCTCTCTTCCTCTAGATTTAAAGTCTATGAAAGCAGTGGCTGTTAAGGTTTTGTTTTGTTCCCTTTTCCCACCAATATAAACATCCACCATATAGGAACACAGAGCTTGGCACAGAGTAAACCTTAATTTAATAGTTTGTGAATAAATGAATGAGATGTGGGATACCCAATTATCCTAACATATTTCTGTTTGAAACAAAGTGTTGAAAGATTTGTTGTAAGGTTCTAGAAAGTTCACTTGGAAGGAAACATGGGATAGGTATCTCATTATAGGTTTCCTTTTTTT